TCTTGTTCCCGTAATGGACAAGTCTCTGCACCGTAATCTATCCATGTTCCTTCCTAATGTGTGGTTCCTCTTGATTCATAACCTAGGATGTTCGGCCAGTACTTCTTTTCGTGTTATGGATTTGCCTTCCGAGGACGTTGATCCTGTTTTCTAGCTCTTGGTAACCGGAAGAAGCGCATGCGTTGCTAACCCGTAGCTTGTGGTTCTTTTTCGTGTTGCTATCCACATGATTTTTCAATTTGGGTTTTTTAACAGCCTCTTTTCGCTGTAGTTCTTGGGAATTGCTGGCGGGAGTGTGAGCAGCTAACACATAACCCCCACGTATGTTCTTTTAGCATCTTCCTACTGTTTTCTTCACCACCGTGGTGGCTGCTTCTGCATACCCTCGTTTTGATTCAGTCATATGTGCTTCAGGCGGGCTCTCGTGCTTTTAGATTTCTGGCGTCCCAACAGCCCTTGCATTTAAGTTCCTATTATGCACTGCTCGAGTTGCTTTGCATAGTCCGCAGATCCACTCGGTCCACTTGTGCCGTCCGTAGAGCGCAAATGCCTCACTGGGGATCCCCGAGTACTTTGGGTAAACCCATCTTTCGCAATTTGTACACTGGCTAATTCTGGCAACCCTTTTATCGCAACTAGTGGACAAACAGTTGTATCCAGGTCAGGTTAGGACTTCTGGTCGGAGCCAATATTTGTCCAGATTCTTGCACTGCGAGCTTCATGTTGTCTTGGTGCTTCGACTGCCAAGTATTCCTTTGGCCGAGCTTATCTGCAGTAGCTGGATACAGGTTCTACTCTTCCCATTCGCTGGTATTTTATGCGGTAACAGAGCTGTTGTATAAAAATTTAGATATTGGCCTAATATGGATTCGGTCCGGTTTACATCTGCATTGGTCACATTCATGGGTCAACGTATGAGAAGTCAATGGAGTGGAGAGGGTAGTCATTAAGGAAACAAGGGTGAATAATCCTAGGGGTATTAGCATTTTACTCGTTGGGCGTTTATTGTCAATCCGTTTCCCAAAGTCCTTCGCGAGCTCACCCGCTCACCCCAATGGTGGTTAACCACCCTGTTGCGCTCACGCTGTGGATCAGCCTGGGTTCAATCATACATTGCTAAGCAAAAACAGACAATCTTACTTGTCAAAAGAAGGCATATGTCGCGAGATGTTAAAATTTCGTTTAATCTTCTCAATCGCTGACGTAAAACAAACAAGCACATTCATAGCACATTCGATTTGTAAATCCTAGTGAACGGACATGTACAGTTAGACAGGAACTATTAGAATTAAAAAAATACAGGTCAACTCCACGGCAAGTGAATTGATTGGATCAGCAACCTTTGGGCGCACAGAACGGGATTATGTAATTGGATTACGTCAGCGATTGAGAAGATTAAACGAAGTGTTAACATCTCGCGACATATGTCTTCTTTCGGCTTTAATAAGATGAATAAAGGGGACCCAGTGTTTCAAAAATCTTACTTGTGTTTGCACTGGTCTCTTACGCTAAATAAACATAAACACATGAGCGCATTCCATCATCCTGGAGCAAATCATTGATTGTTCCCATTTTTAAGAAGGGATCAATTAACGACTGCGTGGGATTAGCTTGGTCCCAATCTTCACCAAGTTACTATCCTCCATCATACCTCCACGTCTGACACCGTTAAGAGAAACAAATATCCGCGAAAAATAAGCAGGATTTCGACCAGGCCGCGGATGTATCTTCACATCTTCACTCTGCGTCAAGTCCACGAGCTACGCCATACGCACCGTCGGCCAACGGTTGTCGTGTTCCTTGACCTAAAAAGAGCCTTCTACTTAGTTAACTGCGAATCCCTTATGGGTTTGCTTCTTCGCAAAGGAATGCTGCAGAAGTATGTGAACATAGAGTTCACTCTACTCATATACTTCTGGTAGCGTAAGGGTCTACGGTGAGCTGAGTAGATCGTTCGTAACTAGCAGCGGTGTTCGTCAAGGGTGCCCTCTTTCGCCATTCCTGTTCAATTTTGTCATAGACGAAATACTGGCGAACGCACTTACTGGTCTCCAAAATGTAGGTATTGAACTGGCAGCTGGCGACAATCTGTGCGATTTGTAGTACGCTGACGACATCGTTTGCCTGTTCGAATCTGTGGAGGATGTGCAAAGAGCACTTGACAGGTTAGCAAGTTTCGTCGCTCCGTTCGGTATGTGCTTTGCACCTTCAAAGTGCAAAGTGATGCCCCAATACTGATTGTCGCCGAGTTCCGTTCTGAAACTAGACTGTCAGGAATTAGCTGTAGTTGACTGCTTCTCGTACTTAAGTAGCTGCGTGACCAGCGACGGTAGGGCATCAAAGGAGATAACCGCCCGCATTTCCAAGGCTCGAGCAGCATACGTAGGTCTGAAACACTTGTGGCGGCGACGTGAAGTTTCACTGAAGCTGAAAAGTTGCGTGCGATCAGTTCTGCTTTACGGTTGTGAGACCTTGAATTTGCGAGCAGAAGACATCCGTCGTTTAGCAGTGTTCGACAGTCTATGCCTACTAAGTCTGGCCCAAGTAGGATGGAGTAAGCGGGTTAGTAACTTAGAAGTAAGTCGTCGTGTGTTTGGGAATACCTCAAACAAGAACTCGCTATCGCATCGAATTCAGTTCAATGGTTAGGACACGTGTTGCGTATGTCCGACGGTCGTCTACCGCAGCGCGCTTTATTCGCAGTAGCTGTTGCAGGCTGAAGAACGCCACGTGGTGCCCAGCAGATGACGTGGAGACGAGGCATGAAGAAATGCACAGAGCGATTGGGTAGAGTAGGTGTCTCTCGGCTTCCGGGTTGGGGTCCAAAAGACTCCGAAACTGCGTGGTTGGAGACACTGAAGATCATGACTGCGAACCGACAGCAATGGCGATTACGCTGTCACTTCTTATCATACCAGAATGTTTGAAGTAGTATGTATGCACAGCTGGATTGTTTGCTGTGTGTTAACCATAGCGGTTCACTTTCTTTTTTCGTCCCTAAGAATGGGTCCAATCCCTGTCCTCCTTACACATTCTCCCTTACCTTGTATGCAATATGAGTTTGGCAGCGATCAGTGAAGTTCACTTCACTGTATTTCCCTTTACGATGATGATGAAGACACCATATAAGAGATGTCACAAACTAAACGTTAGTATTGGTGACAGAACTCAGTGTGCTGTACTTTTCGTCATAGTGTTCAGCGGCACATATTTGGGAAGTACTATAAACCATAACTGCTAGAGTCAAGCAAATTAGAGCAAGACGCACACGGATCGTCCCTAAGTATGCGTTATATATAAAACTGCCTTGCCACTTATGGTATTAATTTATCGTTATATTTGTATTCCTTCACTATAACGATATATTTCTGTATTGCTTAATTTCTTCGTTCTAAAATTTCAGACTTAAATCCGCCTGGCGTCCTTTTCACTTTCCGGTTTGTTTATCATCAAATATGCTTGACGACGAACTTCTTCCAAAGGTACGCAAATGATACTCACAATGCTCAGTTTTCATCTAGAATCATCCGTTGCAGTTGTATTTAGAAGAATTGGATTTAGCAGAAAATGTAACTCTTGTGAATGCGGAGTCGACGCCAAATGCCTCGTCGAAAAAATTATCTTTTACCAGGCGGCTTCAGTCATATTTAACTCGACTGTCATCAGTTATTCATCCAAAAGCTTTCGGCGTGAGTGTCTTGTTTGTTTTGTTTTTTTGATTTTATGTAGTTTGCGGAACACTTCAGACTGCAAATTTTAGAGAATGCCACCGATTTCATTGACGAGACAGATGCGGATATACTGAGACACGTATACAACACTCACTATCTTCCATATGGACTCAGGTATGCACGTCAGTTTGAAATAACCCTAGCCCCTCCAGAGGATCGCTTCTGACACTATTGTCCTTTGGATTGATCCTTCCTATCAGTTTTATCATGGCCAGTTGGCGTCCAGAAATAACTTGTATCGGATACTTATTTGTTCTTCCATGCCTATTTATTTCCCTATGTGCCTTATGTCTTTATGTGATCCGCCATTTACTTTATCGGTGCAAAACTCGATTAAAATCAGTTCATACACCGCTGAAGATGTGTCTTAGTTTTTTGCAAGAGTTCGACCATCATTCTTCTTTTGGTGCGAGGTAAGTGATTGAGATTTGTGATCAACACCAACACATTATAGTCACCTGACTTTACTGTGTAACCAAACGGCATGGAGTTTTCCTATTCTACAGAAACACCTTGGGCACTGTTTGCGATTCTATACGGAACAGTTGATCTGGTTATTACTACAATTAAATGGTTTGGATACGGCTCAGAAAATTTACTCTTTTCCGTCGTAGATACACTGTCT